AACAACAACAACAACAAACAACAGCAAAATGTCTGCACCCGCTCAATTGACTTCAGTTGCGCAGCGAGCGGAGCGAAAAGTCGGACATCGTTGCGAACAACGTGCGCGGCACGACCTGACGTAGCATAGGAGAACGCCGCACAGCAGCGCGCGGTGACGGTATTGTGTTAATAATAAAATTAATCACTTTCTTATAGAGACCACTGCCTTTCCTGGGAGTTCTAGACCCACCACAGTTGCAGAGGCCACCCCCCCCCCCCCCCCCTCGCAGTCAAAGGGCTTCTGGCGTCAGATTCGGTGACGGAATGGCGCAGCCAAAGGAGGGAAGGGAAATGCGGTAATTATCTGGGTCCACGCGTGCGGGACGGAGGCCGACCGCGGCGTCGCAGGCCCGTGAGGGGTCGTAATGGCACGAGGAGGGGGGGGGGGGGGGGCAGCCTTCGTCCAGCTGTGAGGGGTGACAGCAGCTGGCGGTGAAGATGCTGACCGGAACGTGAACTAGCCTGCACTTGCAGTACTTCAGTTGCAACAGCGTTTTTCAGCGGTTAATGTGCGAGTACCTCCGTCTGTTCCAGCCCCTGTTGGGTCAACAGGAAATTGAGAAGCCGCAGAGAGGAGGAGGAGGAGGGGGGGGGGGCACTTGGGTCTGCTCGTGATGGCACGAGTGGGTACGCAGGGAAGACCGTTGCCGTTTATTCAGGAGAGGCAAAACATGAACGCAGAGGGGTGACTGCGTTGCGTGCTGTTCAGCAGAAAATAAAACAAACGGAATTGTATGTATGTATGTATGTTGAACTTCTTTCGCACCATGATAGAGGTTTTTGGGTTAGATCGCGTACATGTAAATTTGTCGTTAAACCCGCCACCATCCAACGCAGCCAATTAGTGAGGTTTGTCATGTAAAGAACATGCCAATTCGTTACTAGTGTAGTGTCAACAATTCGGAGACAGAGTTTATAGGAGGCACTTTCTTTATTAACACAACTTCCACGGTCTCGTCCACACACTCTCCACAGTAGCTTAGCCTGGCTTCTACACAACACTAGCCGTCTAACACTGACGGCGCTGACTGAGATAGCCAACTGCTGTCCTTCGTAGCGCAACATCTAGCGGAGACGGCAGCGACGACGAGACGAGTCCACTCCCAGAACCGGCAGCCTCGAGCTCCCCGCTCTCAGCTCCTTTTATGCTTCCAGCACGGCCTGGCCCCGCCCTGACCACGCCTCCCTTCTCGAACCCGCTGGCACAGCGGCCCACAACCTTTTTGGCACCAGGGACCGGTTTCGTGGAAGACAATTTTTTCACGGACCGGGGGGGGGGGGGGGGGGGTGAGGTTCATCATTTGGTCTTTCCCCCTTTTCAAAGAAGCTCTCCAGCTACATTTGTTTTTTACACATTGTGGCTACTAGGAGTTAGAGCTCGTGGGCTTACTCATTGTGGCTACTAGGCGTTAGAGCTCGTGGGCTTACCAACACTGTGACTGAGACAAGTGCGCAGTGCGGGAAAGAGGCGCGGACGGAAGTGGTAAATAATAAATTAATGGGGCGGGCCACGTGCGGACTCACCGGGGACCCCTGCGCTAGCAGGTTCCAGGGGCCTCCAGATGGGCTCCTCCTTGACCCTTGGCCTAGTTCCTCCGCTCTGCCAACACACACCGTGCTCACCGGCGAATGTGTCCTGTCTGTCCACCGCGGTTGGTCGCTGCTGTCCACCAGCCGGCGCTATTACGCTACACTCGTACAGCACATCGGTGTGTTGGAGAGTAAACCCACAACATTTGCACGCGGACAGCCTGATGATGCTAGTTGTAATTACTGGCGAAACGTCATACTCGAACTGTAAATTTTGTGGGTTTACTCTCCAACACACCGGTGTGCTGTACTAGTCACGAATTGGCCACGTTCTGTTAACGTGACAAACCTTACTGATTGGCTGTCGGGTGGTGGCGGATTTAACCACATTTATATTTACGCGATCGAACCCAAAAACCTCTATTATGGAAAATATTGCTAGCGAAAGCCTATGTGTTAAATTTATTTCGCACCTTACGTACCCAACCGTGCTAATCGGAGCATATAAAATAATCCATTCTACAGGCGTAAAAATTCGAGTATTATTAATCATGCCGTCAGCGTGTCTCCTAGCTCCAATGAGCCCTGGGCCAACACTTATTTCCATTGAAGGTGGTGGTGGAAAATATACATTTCAATCCACGTGCCAGGGGCCGGTCGGATGCCGAGTTGCCACGATCTGGTTCTAGTCTCATTGACTCCGCAGAGACGACGCCAGTGATGATCCCTGAGCAGGATTTGAATTCACAATACGGCAAATTGAGAGTATTATTTCATTTCCTTAAAAAAAAACTACTATATGTTTTATTAATAACTTGCCGATGGCCAGGGATCACCATCACATTAATAACCACCGTCGTTTTATTAATAACATGATGGCGTTCTTAATTAGGCTGCAGCTCAGATTAGCACGGTTGGCTACGTACAAAACTGTTTGTGTACGGCATGCGATATAAAAAAAGAAAGTCACAATAAATGGAGCATTTGTTATGTTTATCAACCTGGACGAAGGCTTCCCCACAAATGTTTTGGTCACGGAGATCGTTTCACGATATACTTAACCATACTGGTCGGTTACGATTTGGTGAACGGGGATCCCGGGATTGGTTCAGATGCCACTCGCCACTCACGTTGGGCCATGTCCGGGATTCATAATAAAGTTTTTTGGGTTAGATCGCGTTTATTTATAAATGTGTCGTAACCCTCCACCACCCGACACGGCCAATCAGCAAAAAAAAGTGTCACGTTGACAAAAGACAAATAATTCACTACTTTAGCCCACCGGTGTGTTGAAGTGTGAATCCACATTTACAGTTTGAGTACGACGTTTCACTGGTAAATACATCCAGCATCATCGGGCAATTCGCCAGAATGGTAAAGCCCTCGCTTGCTCCCGGTTTTATATAGAGCAGCAGGGTGACGTCATCACTTAACTCATATCAGGTGCAGTGATTAGAGGCGGAGGGGGGGGGGTATTGTAATTATATAATCGATTAGTAATCAGTCATTGGTTATGATTAGTAATGAGTTGTAGATTAGTAATTCTTTAAATCAAAATGTAAAGTGTATTATTTAATAATACGCTTCCAGGCCGCACTAAGCCTGTAGCTGTCAGAGCGATTAAAGTTATTCTTGTTCCTCTCAATTTCAATGGATTCTCTAATTAGTCTTTGCCAGTAATAATTAGTTTTACACACCACTGTCCGGGAATCGAACTCGGGTGGCTGGGTTAATAGCGCTGTGCGCCAACCACCGTGTCAGCACTCCACGCCCCCCACAGCATTGGTAATATCCCGTATCTACGCACGTATAGCTTTGTCAAGACACCAACTCGGCTCCCTTTACTCACTTGGACGGATGAGCAGCGGGTCCGTGTTGTTTGTTTAACTCTCGATGCTCCTGCGTCACTGTGCGCCCAGGGGCAGCGCCCTCTGCGCATCTTCTGTACAGCCCAGTGTGCTGTGTTTTATTAAGCCCGGCAAGCTTGCGTATTATATATAAAAAAAACACTTTTTGTTTTTTTAATTTCACCAGGTAAGGCCCACTGAGCTCTTTTTCAGAAGCGACCTAGGCCACGAAACGATAGCTCAGCCAAGTGGCTGATCATCACGTGGACATTTGAAGTGGCTGATCATCACGTGGACATTTGAATCGATTGTCGGTGACCCGGGTTACCATCGTGACCCGGGGGTGCCAAAACCTCCATAACTCCGAAACCAGAAGCCCTATGAAGACGGGAGATGTCACTGAGCCCAATACGCACGCCAAATATGGAAATAAAAAATACACGCAAAACACCCATTAAAAAGCGGGGCTGCTGGGGATTTGTGCGTGGCAACGGCTGCTTATTGCTTGTTTTGAAAGTACATCAGGATGCTGGTCTGGTCATTCCCCAGCACGTTCTGCTTCTCACGGGGGCGGCCACCCCCCTTGTCTTTGGGAGCGAGACCACTTGGAGGCAATGGCGCACCGGGCGCTCTCTTGGTACTGCCGGCGGTCACGGTCGTGCTGGCGGGATCGACATCGTCGTTCTCATCGCTCCCAGCGTCGCCCTCCGGCAGGACAGGGTGGTAGTACCAGCGATGCTCCCACAAAAAAACCTTAAACTATGCCCGGCCCACCATTATTTTGCGGTAACCCGGGCTACCGCCAATCGATTCATTTGTAGCAGCCACATAAATACCTATCGCAGTAATCGCTACACGTTTGCTTCAACGTGATGCGCGTGCCCACGCCATCGGGAGGGGTTTCCACTATATGAAGTGGCTTATCACGTGGACATTTATAGCAGCCAAATACTCGAAACGCACGACGTTGATTCTAAATGTGGAGGGAAAACCCGGAGGATCCGGAGATAAATCCAAGCGACCGCAGGGAGAGAGACGCCGCAAACTCCAAATATACAACAGCAGGCATCGTCAGGGTCAGGATCGAACCCACGACCTCCTGTAACCAGGCGAGGTAGTTAACATCTCCTAGCCACTGTGATGATGATAAGAGAGAGACACGCAGACTCCAAATATACAGCAGCAGGCATCGTCAGGGTCAGGATCGAACCCACGGACCTCCTGTAACCAGGCGAGGTAGTTAACATCTCCTAGCCACTGTGATGATGATAAGAGAGAGACACGCAGACTCCAAATATACAGCAGCAGGCATCGTCAGGGTCAGGATCGAACCCACGACCTCCTGTAACCAGGCGAGGTAGTTAATATCTCCTAGCCACTGTGATGATGATAAGAGAGAGACATACAGACTCCAAATAAACAGTAGCAGGCATCGTCAGGGTCAGGATCAAACCCACGATCTCCTGTAACCAGGCGAGGTAGTTAACATCTCCTAGCCACTATAATGATGATAAGAGAGAGACACACAGACTCCAAATATACAGCACCAGGCATCGTCAGGGTCGGGATCGAACCCACGACCTCCTGTATACCAGGCGAGGTAGTTAACATCTCACCACCGTGGTGCCCGAGTTTGTATGTTGTACAGGGTGTTTCGAACTTGGCGATTCATGTCACCTGCGTGGCTCACGTAAACGTAGACAGTCGTGAGGGGCTCCAGGGTGAAGCGGTTGTGACACTCGCTCCGCACAGCAATTAGCGCCTGGGTTCGACTCTCCACTTGTTTACACACCGTACCAGGTACTCCTTTGAGTACCTGGTACGGTGTGTTGACCTAAGGGAGGTCCAACCACACATAGACACACACGCACGCAACATTACACCCAGCACTGCTTTCGGTAAAACTTACTAAAGGTATGGAATGTATTTCTTTTTTACAATCAGTGAATCAACCCGCAAGGGACGATGCGAATCGTCTGTACCTCGTCACAGACCAGCCCCGCGGGCTGTTCCTCCCTTCACGACGTTTGTCGTCACAGCCACAGAGGCCACACCAGAGACCACCACCACCACCATCAGCCTGTCTGCACACGAGGAGCTAGCTGATGTACCTTGCACCTGGGGCTGAGTGGCGTGCACGCTCCACACCCTCTGAAGTGACCATCATAACGCCTGGCCCATCTCTTCCTCTCTCTCTCTCTCTGCCACTTGCGGCTCCACTCTCCTGACCACGGAACATTTTGGCAGTTTCATCAGCGGCGTGCAGCGTGATGCTGCATGCGACCACACAGGTGACGGAGATATCGGGTGGCGCGTGTCACTCTACGTTGACTGAAAATAAATATGCGGGGTTTTTCTTTATTGTACGTACGTTCAACGTCTTTCGCACCGTACGTAGCCAACGAAATTGACAGAACAAGTCGGATTCTACCTTGCTCGGCACTGCGTTGTCACGTTGGCCCGCGCAGCAGCGGTTATTCGCGATGTGCTTGCCACCGAGGCACATGGCAAAATAATATTTGTCGTTTTACCAAGTGCAAGCCCTCAGCTGCAAAATGGAGATTTAAAATCACGGGGCATTGTTTGCTGTCCAAATTCGGCGAAATGCTAATTAAGCGCAATAATGAATTCAGAGGATATTAATAAACCCCACAACTATTCACCTATTTAAATAGTATACCACTTTAATCGCAATATCAACATTTCATTGAAATGTAATCCCTTACCAATGATTTGAACAGTGAAAACATACCTCTTTGGTTCTTTCGGTAAAGTAACGTAGGAAATAAAATTAAATAATACTAGAATACGACGTTTCGGTTGCAACACAAGCAACCATCATCAAGGTAAGAATGAATTCTAAAACACAGACACGGAAACAGCATAGGCAGACCCACAAGTAGAAAGAGACACACAACACAAAGAGGGAGCAGTGTGGAACTCCGGGCCACAGTAGCCGGAGGAGAGACATTGGTTTGCATTGCGTTACACTTCTTAATTTGACTACATTTGCTTTTTCAAACTTTCGATTTTCTTGCTCTAAACCATTGTCTCTCCTCCGGCCACTGTGGCCCGGAATTCCACACTGCTCCCTCCTTGTCCCCTCGTTTGTCAGCTGGTCCCACATCCCCATTCCTCTCTCTGCCCCGCACACCCACAGCCCCCCCCCCCTCTCTATTTAAGGCCTCGCCACAGATTCGTTGTCCTTCTGTTTGTCTTGGTGTGCGTCTCGCTCGGTGTGTCTTTGTGTGTGTCTCTCTCTGCATGTGTGTCTGCCTATGCTGTTCCCGTGTCTGTGTTTTATCATTCATTCTCACCTGATGATGGTTGCTTGTGTTGCAACCGAAACGTCGTATTCTATTATTATTTTATTTCATTTTCCACGTGACTTTACCGAAAGAACCAAAGAGTGATTCCTGCAGTCACGAAAGCTTCGAATCTAGTAAAAAAAAAAAAGCACTTCGCTTCTTCATGGTATTAAGAGTTCTATTTGACACCCCGGGCAAATGTTTGGTTTGTTTTTAAATCCGTGCCATTTGGCATTGACGCACATGGCCTGCCTGCCTGTCTGCCTGTCAACCACCGGCTGGTGTCACTTTGCCTGATGGGAGTGCCGAATCAGCCCCCGTCCATCGGCCGCCCCCCCCCCGCCCCCCCGAGTGGCTTCGTATCGGTAACGCGTCTCGCCATGTCGCTGCGTGTTTGCGCCGAGGTGATCCCGCATAATCCCCAGTTTATTTTGGGTTTCTCTGCGACACCCCCGCCCAGCCGGCCCCGTCCCGTCGCCTCCAACTCCGCCACTCCCCGCGTCACCCGCCCCCCCCCCCCCCCCCACGGAGAGGTTCAGCCGGCACATGTCGCTTATGAGCGGAGATTTTTGGAAGCGGTCCTTGTTGACTCAGCAGCGACTCTCTTGTTATCTCATCAAATGGCAGCCTGTCTGTGTGTCTGCACGTGCGCGTGCGTGTGTGAGACTGTGCAGTCGAGTGCACGTTGCTTCACGACTCCATGCCTCCGTGCACGTGTTTACGTGCTGAAGGGGGTACATTAGCCAAATGGTTTTGTGTGTTCGTGTACCACTTTGTGAGGAAGTCAATCGTGGTTGCTGTATGGATAAAGTCGCCCCTGCCATAGTAATGTGGATGTCCACCACTTGCTCAGAGCTGTCCACTGGAGGTAACACCACCTCGGTGTTCATTTAAGCAGGAAATAATTTGCCTGTGTGCAGTATAATTTCTCTGTGTGTGGTATAATTTATCTGTGTGGTACATTTTTTCTGCGTGTGGTTACAGTTGTCTGTAGTGCGTGGCACATTTGCGTCCGGGTTTATTTACTGGGTCTTGTGCCACAACTCGGTGATTTAATGCAGTTACCGCGCGTGAATATTCATGCGGTTAACGTTGTATACAAAACCTTTCATTTCAGTCACTCGAAAGAGGTCTGTGGTTGACTGCGTACTGCAACTGGCACTGTGGTTTGTTTCAACGTTTCACCCGGTGCGTTTCACCCACAATCTTTCTGGGGCCCCTCCAGCCTGTCTAAGAAGAGTTATCTTTGTTGCTATTGCGACTTCAGTTCACCGGGAGAAAATATAAACAATGTATTTCAATGACCCACATTGTTCACGGTAAACAATGCTTGTGGAACTCTCGGCATCGTGTGCACACGTACCCAGCAAACAACCACTGTTAAGTCGCTTTCGCTCGCATGCATTTTGCGATGTCAGAATGAAGTGGAAACAATTTGAGCCACGATATGAATGCCATCTAGTCTGCAATATGATAGTTCTAACTGCTAAACACGTCATTAGACCTTTGCCAGTGCCAAAATATAATAGGGTTTTTCCCCTTTTTTCTGGCAACAAAACTGAAACCTTTTACGAGGAATTATGTCTGCATTAACCACAATACTTGTGGTCAAAATGCAAACAAAAAACACTGATAATATGATGCATTGTCCTTGAAACTGATTGGTCCACACCAGAGACGACTTTCTTTTGAGCCTCGTCTCAATTGGTGCTAAACCAGATGCCGCCAAAAGGACCAATCAGCTTCAAGGACAATGCATCATATTTTCAGTGTGTTTTTGGTTTGCAATTTGGCCACAAGTATTGTGGTTAATGCAGACATGATTCATCGTAAAAAGGTTTCAGTTTTGTTGCCAGAAAAAAGGGGAAAACCCCTATTATGCTAAACACGTGTTACATTTATTTTTTTACATTTGCTTAGGCTCTTAACATTGAAGTAACCCACACTTGCACAAACGGTGCACAGAGTGCGTGTGCAATGTGGCATGTTTGTGCACATTTAAACTGTAGTTATCGTATTTCACTTTATTAATAATACGAGTAATTAAATATGATCAATGGAAAGGGAAGAACATCGAGCGGCATGTAACACAGCACCGTGATGCACCTGTGCACGCAATAGCATCGTGTGATAATTAACAGTAGCCAAACTCTAAGCTGAAGCTAATGATCTTTCATTACATAAATACACAATGATATCTCACCCATGCAGTACATTTTGCATTGAAATAAATGGGTTGTAACTATATTCTTGTTCATGGGATTGACACAGTTTGCATTGAAGTATTTATAATTCAGAGACGTTACACACGAGTCGTGCTCTTAGAAATACTGTAATGTGATAAACAGTCATCAAACATTGCTATCCACAAATTACTTGGGATGTGATCAGTTTAGCACGTAGGCGTTCGCCAACGTGTTAACGCACAAGCGGTGTGCTGAACTTGTAACAAATTGGCACGGTTTGTTTACGTGACAAACCTTACTAATTGGCTGCGTCGGGTGGTGGCGGGTTTAACGACACAATTCTATTTACGCGATCTAACCCAACAACCTCTATTACGGAATATGATCATTGAGAAATAACGATTAATTCGAGGTGAAATGGCGGAAAGACCGTAGTTGTAATTCAGCAACAGCTCAGCTGTCTCAGCTGTTTCAGCTGTCTCGGATCTGTGAGCGCCCCTCACTGCACTGCTCAAGCACCAAGCACTCTGATTTCCAGCGGAGCAGAGAGAGGAAATCGACCGGCAGAATGAGCGCACACAAGGGCGCGAGCGACGCGGCCCGAGTGGCCGATTGCAAAGGCCAAAAAACGAGGTCATTTATTGGCTGGATAGCGCCAGACAAAACCGCAGGGACTTCTACTGGGTGTTACGATGCAGCGATTAACGTCAATAATTCTTAAGCTAAATGCATCATATACAGTGCTGCGCTGTATGTGACCGCTTCACGTAACCCATGCAACCACGAGAGGCCACTACTTTGAATGTTCGAAAAATAATGTAACTTTTTTTTGAAATGGTAATTGGATCGAATCACGACGGGAGTGAATCGTGATGCCCCTAATAAGTCCCTTTTGGGCCCTCCCTCTGCCTTTTTCCAGTGGAGACCCATCGCAGTGTATCCCCTGTGCCCGGCGTTTTGCCCTCTCTGGGTTATGAGGTGCACTGGAGTATTGGCCAGTGGCAAAATCTCATTTTAGGGGCCATGTTGGCAGTCTCAGGCCTGGAGTAGAAACCTCCATTACTCCATGTGGCTGAAGATCCTCGAGCGCCATTTTGACAGTGTTTAATCCCGCCGTGACCCCCAGCAAGATGCCGTACATTTTCTTTTTAAAATTTCAGTTCATATACTGGCACGGCCGATTGGAAAGTTACGTAGGCTCGGACAGAGGCTACACAAAAGGAATGTAGCTTTATGGGAATGCACAATCATGGCGATAGCTCGGTTTCCAAAAAAAATCACTCTGGTCACGCAAAGCTAAAGAGGTGGCCTGTTGCGGAGGTCACGCCCGTCCTCATGTCTCTCAGAACGTGGGGTTGTCCCGCTGTTTCAGGGACAGCAATCCTCATTCGCGCAATTCCTTCTCAGCGGCGCGTTCGTGTGCCAGTTGGGTGAAGTGACAATCAGAGGCAAGCGTCCCGTCCTGTTGCCTACGTGTTGTTTCAGCGTTGCTCTCAGTCCCAACGGTAGTTTCTGTACGTTTGTAAATTGTCCATGTCCATGCAAAATAAAACGCTCATTGTGCATGAAATGCATTCCTCCATGTGCCAAAGAGACATTTTATTATTTTGTATCTGTAAGTTATGTTGAGTAGGTCCACTGAGGAATGGGTAGTGAAACATGACGACATACTCTGTAACCCATATCGTTCAGAAATAAGCACTGTTTATGGGCTGTTAGATGTCAAAATATTGATTGGACTTTCCACTCAGGTGGCAGTTTGTGAACTACTTCAAATCCCTCCTCTGGTCATTCATGTTGAAAAGCATTAAAAGTGTTGGCAGTTGCATGCTCCGTAATATAATGTTATTTTGGGTTAGAGCACGCAATATGAATGTGCCGTTAAACCCACCACCGCCCGACACAGCCAATTAATAGGGTTAGTCACGTAAACAAAAACAGTGCCGATTAGTTACTAAATAATAGGGTTTTTCCCCTTTTTTCTGGCAACAAAACTGAAACCTTTTTACAAGGATTCATGTTGCTGCATTAACCACAATACCTGCAGTGAAAATGCAAACAAAAACATACTATGATAATATATGCATTGTCCTTGAAACTGATTGGTCCACACAAAGGGACGGCTTTATTTTGAGCCTCGACACAATTGGTGCTCGACCAGATGACGCCAAAAGTTTCAAGGACAATGCATATATAATCATAGTATGTTTTTTGTTTGCATTTTGACTGCAGGTATCGTGGTTAATGCAGCAGACATGAATCCTTGTAAAAAGGTTTCAGATTTGTTGTCAGAAAAAAAAGGGGAAAAACCCTATTATTACATTTTGGTACTGGCAAAAGAGGTCTAATGATGATTAGTTACTAGTTCAGCATACGTGGTCTTCGGCCACGTTTTCCACCCCTGAAGGTGACTCAGAATAACATCAAGGCCACCGTGTCCTCCCTGCTCTTACGGGGAAACGGGACGGCACTCATGTCCAAGGGAAAGCCTGAGGCCGGGGTAGAACTTCCACAATCTCACGACAGCAGACATTTCGGTCTGCAACACGACATTCCGTTCACTTTGGAAAACGTGGAACTCGTGTCATTACCCTCGGAGGATCGACTGAGTCGACCTCTAAGACACTTTGACATTCGCAATTGTGAGCGAAGTGCTGTGTGACCACAGTGCCAACCGACTGGACACTTTTATCATGGCTGCACTACAAATGACACGATCGGAATCGGAATGTTTATTTGTTTATTTATCCCGGAGAAATCTGATGAACTACGGAGGTGTTTGTCACCGATGTCCACTAGGGGCGGGTCAGAAAGTCACCACGACAAACAATATAACAAACGACATCATTGCAAAGCAATCATTATGGGTCGAACTACTTCACGCTGTAACAACACAAATTGTTACGTTCATATGTTGAACTTCTTTCGCACCGTACGTAGCCAACCGTGCTAATTGTGGGTGCTATCCGTTATTAAATAGTACTCCATTCATTTTAAAACGAGGGGGACTCTTTTGTGGTGAATGTGAAGCGTTTTTACACTTCACCCCGCTGCAGAGAGACAAGTGACGAGCTAGCACCGCAAACGACACCTGGCGATCGGTGCGGCCGATGGAGCGATCGGCACGGCCGATGGAGTGATCGGTGCGAGCGATGGAGCGATCGGTGCGAGCGATGGAGCGATCAGCACGGCCAATGGAGCGATCGGCGTGGCCGATGGAGCGAGCGCCGCTTCTAAAACGCCGTGACTCGCTCGCCTCATCGAACGACGCGAGGGCTGTCCACGCTGAGCGGCCGTGAATCTTGAGCCACGCAGGCTGTGCACCTTGCCAGATGAGACCCGAAATACCCTCCTAATCCTGTCACCAAGAGCGTGGATAAATGTTTGTGGATGAAGTGCGGCGCGCAACTTGCAAACGCCTGCCAGCGTCCTCAGATTTCACGTGGAAGTATTTTTTTGGGTTTTAAGCGTCGCGTGCATTCTCTTGCCCTTGTTTGTGGACCGTGGGGTTTTCAGAGCTCAAGCTGAGTTCCCATGTTGTGGCTATTTATATCCCGTCTCTATTTTAGCTCGCGCACGGCCCTCTTAGCCGCCCGCTCTGGCCGTGCAAGTGTCGAGTAATAATCCTGCCACCGGCCGAGGGTCACGGGCTGTCTCTAAGGGTGAAGCCTGAGAGGCCCCATACACATCTAACAGCCTCTGTGTCCCACCTGAACTGTGCCTTTCATCTGCGGTGGAGGTATTTCACGACGTTGGTACCTCACCAATTGCAGTACTGTTGGTGTCAGGACAGGCCACAAACCCACGTCTCGTTATTCAGACATTTTTTTAACTTGGTGTGAACATTTTAGGCTTTCGAATTTGGTTGGGATCATAATACTTTGTTAATTCCTAACTTATTTTTCCAACTGGAGCAATAACCTGCGGCGATTATTGTGGTGGGATGGAGCCCATGCATCTGAGAACTTTGTCATTCTGGATGTAAAAGTTTATCTTAAATAAGTATTGTATTTATCAATGACTGAACGTGCCTACCTGTCTTACCATGGTTAATGATCAATTCCCAAGGTGCAGCAGGCAATAACATTTACAGTCTACCATGTCATAAATAAGGTTTGTTTAATAAATGCAATGTAAACAGAGCAGTATGCCTAAGGGTGGTGAATCAGAATCACAATCATAATCTTGATTTAGACTGCAGAAGGGAATCCGATGAGCCATGAAGCTCTTTTTCACAGATGTCCAGTATTGGCGGGTTAGTGAGTTACAACAACAAACGAAAAAAACGATCAGTGTGCACAATAGAGACAAAGGTAGAGCAAGCCACAAAATAATAGAGGTTTTTTGGGGGGGTTAGATCGCGTAAATACAAATGTGTCGTTAATCCCGCCACCACCCGACACAGCCAATCAGTAAGGTTTGTCACGTAAACAGAACGTGGCCAATCCGTCACTAGTACAGCACACCGGTGTGTTGGGGAGCCAAGCCACAACATTCATGTATTGTGAAGTCCGATTTATCCAGCTGGTGTAAGGCAGCAAACACAACGACAAAACAGTCCCAGACCACATCGTGGTGGGTGCCGACGACTGGTTCAGACAGCGCTCACCATTGATGTTACATCAGTTGCCGGCTTCACAGCGGTCTGTGTGTGTAGTGCGTGTGTGTGTGTGTACGTGTATGTGTGTGTAGTGTGTGCATGTGTGTGTACGTGTATGCGTCTCTATGTGTGTGTAGTGTAGCGGTTAGCGCGCTGCGCTACGAACCGGGTTCAATTCCCGTTCACGGCCAAAACCGGTGACGATTATCTGAACCGGTCTTGGGCCTACCTAGGTCGACTCAGCCTCAAATGAGTACCTTGTGAGGTGCGTAAACATCGCCACTGGGGAGACAAAGGCGGTCGGGCGTGGTGCTGGCCACCCACCCCCTCGTGTGCCGTGCCGGCCTTCATAGGTGCTCGCTAACAGCACTTGCCCCAACAGTCTGTTAAGGCTACACGGGGGATCTTTGTCTTTTATTTGTGTTCGTGTGTGAATCACGACGGTGGTTCACAGTAATCTTGGTTGGGTTTCTGTTTTTTTAATGCAAGGGAATCACCGTGAAGCCACCACGACAGAAAGGCGAGCTTGTTAAACCAACAGTCCACAGATATCCGTGGGACCTTTCTTCCAGTATCCAAAATTATGAAAAATGGGAATACGTTATACCAAAACAACAAATTGATGCCTTTTGCAAGGCATCAAGTCTACATTAACCACACATACCTGTGGCAAAACATGCAAATTAACCATGCTCTGATAATAAATGCATTGTCTTTGAAACTGATTTTGGCCTACACCAGAGACAGCCTTCTTTATGGCCTAGTATCAGAGCACTCATAGCTCGGGTCGAGCAGTAGAGTTAAATTCCCAGTCAAGGTAAAATGAAATGTTGACAATTGATCAATTCCACTTAAAACTGACCAATGAGGGTAGAGTGGCAAGGAATGGCTGTGGCCCTCTGCATGCGGTCGTCTAAGCCCCCCCCTGAATGCACGATTAGATTGTTTCGTCACCTTTTTGCATTTTTGTTGTTGTTACTTACAGAGGCAATGTCGCTGAACGTTTCAGCAACACAGTCCGAGTGCGGCAAAAACAACAACAATAAAACGTGGGGGGGGGGAAAGGCAAGCTAAGCGACGGGGAAAACCACTCACCGGTGGAGAACCACGGCGGTGGCGTGGATGACCCTGGTGGCCGCCTAGCAGGTGGGCCGTAGCAGGTGGGCCATAGCAGGTGGGCCGTAGCAGGTGGCCACGTAGCAGGTGGCCGCCTAGCAGGTGGGCCGCGTAGCAGGTGGGCCGTAGCAGGTGGGCCGTAGCAGGTGGCCCGTAGCAGGTGGGCCGTAGCAGGTGGGCCGTAGCAGGTGGCCACGTAGCAGGTGGCCGCGTAGCAGGTGGCCGCCTAGCAGGTGGGCCGTAGCAGGTGGCCCGTAGCAGGTGGGCCGTAGCAGGTGGGCCATAGCAAGTGGCCCGTAGCAGGTGGGCCGTAGCAGGTAGGCCGTAGCAGGTAGGCCGTGGCAGGTAGGCCGTAGCAGGTGGGCCGTAGCAGGTAGGCCGTAGCAGGTGGGCCGCGCGCATGAAGACGCAGCCCAAGTTGTCGGATGCCAGGGCATGTTTTTGTTTTCTGTTTTTGGGACCCCCCTCCCTCCCCCCCCCATGGGTGTTGTGTTCCCCCCGCCCAGCAGGAGAGTGCTCACGCCCTTGGAAATCCCTCTTGATTGACAGGGCAAAATCTCGGCCTGTTTGTTTTCTGACCCCTTGCTCGTAAATAGGTCCCTGGCTTGTGGGGGGCCCATCGCTTCAAGTGGCCACGAAATTTGACTTTGCGGGCAGAGAGAGAGAGAGACCTGTGGTTCTCTGTCGTCGCGGACTGAGCTGATACTCTAGCAGTTTAAACGATCTGTATCAGTAGGGAGAAAAAAACATGTTTTGTACGTAGCTGATGGATGGGTGACTCTGGGTGGCATGTTCATTACGTCCGGGTAACTGAGCTACCTTAGTAGTACGGTCGGCTTGTTTTGCCATCCAAAGACAGCGTTTTTAGAGGAAAGATCAATGGCAAAAGATAAACGTTGCGTTGAAACTGACGACACTCGTTTATTTCATGGAGACATTTACCATTGTTTTTGCGCAGACATATGTGTGGATTGTACTCTCGATCACACGCAATTATGGACACACAAACAAGCACGTAAAAAGTAGTTACACCTAAAAGACAAAGGTGCAGGCCTGCGATTATTAGCGCGCAAACAGTGGGCATAAATATCTCAAATCGAGGGTGCTCTCGAGAGGGGTATTTGGCCTACTCCTCCAAGATGTCTTTGTAAGAGGTGGGAGTACCCACACTTAATCCCCACCGCACGTAACCTGCCGAAGGACAAACCGGGGTTCATCCATTGAGGCTGCTCGGTAAAGAGCGGCGAGGGCATTGAAGAAACGTGCCCCAATCGTTTCAAGTGGCGGTCCGGGAGGTCGAAACCGGTAACCTCTGGATTGCAGGTGCGGTGTGCCCACGGTTATGCCGTGGCAGCATCCGAGTGCCTCTAAACATTGACGATACTTGGCGCTACGCGGTATTACCTCGAACTCGCTGCCCGCAATTTTGTCTGTCAGCGAATCGCATCGAGAAACTCTACACGGTTGCGTCGATAGAGCGAGAGGTAAAGTGATGAGAGAGAATGTGATGCGAGAAGTGATGAGAGATAAAGCGATGGGATAAAAGAGATGTGTGAGTGTGATAATTGTCATGAATTTAATGGTTTATATATTAATTAAAATAATTCATGAAAACAATTGGTTATGATGTCCACGTATTTCATAGCTTATTTATGTATTTAATTAAGGTAATTCAATATCATTATCTAATATCATTATCCGCGAAATTTTTTATTCACGAGCATCTATCTATGCACGTATGTTGAACTTCTTTCTCATCACGTGTAAGCCAACCGCGCTCATCAGAGGTGCGGGGGAAGGACACCAACATATGCGGAATGTATCCGTCACAAATAACGGAGGGGACACTGTGCAGGAGAATGAAAGGAAGATGGGAATTGTTCGCTGGTTGCTGCTCATTGTAGCTGCTCATTGTAGCTGGCATAAGTACAGCACGTGAACACTTGGCTTACTTGGAGAGGCAAATCTGTGGCACAGTTCAGCCGTACTTCCCGGCATTGCATCAGCACAGCACGGTAAAAGGTCGCAGTGCAGTTATCTTGGTCAACTTCGCGGCCAAATAAGAAAGCTATCACTGGCAAGCCACAGTCACTTCTGATAAACAGTGACAGAGGGGCAAACATTTGGACAGGGGCTTCTTAAGGGAGGCAGCAGGTTGCCGAGAAAAAGGCACCGGGGGGATAGAGGCAGAACGTGGAAAATAAAATCGTGTGCTCGATGCTCCTAATTTTTGCACCGTCAAATGCACACTTTGGACCGCATAGGCAAGACTTATGTTTTATGTTTTAACCTTAATCGGCTGTTTGGGCAAACGCACACACGCACACGCGCACACACATGCACACACACAAACAATAATAAGCAAAAAAAGCATACGTGCGTATACATTCAAAGCATTCCCAGATGTAGCGATAATAAACTGTAGCTGCTGAATGAAGGCCTCCACATGCCATCTTCGTCATCGGGGTTGTTTAACCATACTTCACCGCGCCGGTCAATGCGACTTGAAGAAGGAAATAGGGCAGCTAAAGACCGGTTCAGAAATCACTTGTCACTGTTGTTAGCCGTGGCTGGAAAGTGAGCTCAGGTCGCCGAGTTCTTAGCGCATTGCACTAACCACTACGCTACTAATCTGGGAAAATTAATTTGCATGCATGTATGTTGAACTTCTGTCACACCTTGAAGGGAAACAATAAAATAATAAAGTATATATAAAACAATAAAAATTCTCACGACGTTTCGAAACGTCGTGAGAATTTTATTGTTTTATATATATATATTATTATTTTATTGTTTCCCTTCAACGTGACTTTGCCGAAAGAGCTAAGAATATGAATTACTGCAGTCACGAAAGCTTTAAATCAAAATTCTTTCACACCGTACATAGCCAACTGTGCCAATCGGAGGTGCGGGGGAAGGACAACAAACTACATACAAACAGCAGTTCTGAATAAATGAGTTTTCAATCTAGATGATGATTTAAAAGTGCATAGCTCCAGTGGCGCTCTAATATCGGAGGGAAGAGCATTCCAGGCGGCCGCAGAAGCGCATCTGAATGCGCGCGACGCGTTGAACGTCTTTTGTCCAATGGCAAGCCAAAAACCGCTGAAAATCCGAACACGCTAAAAACCCAACTGCTTGCTGTGCTGCCATCCATGAGTCCATGAGTTGTCACATGTCATGTGATGCGATCTCGCTGGCACCATCAGCTCCCCCACCCAAGGCGGCGCGGATCACAGGAGCGCACGACCAAGAGCTGTCATTCTTTTTGAGTGTCACAAAATTTGGATGATGATGATGATGATGAGAAAATTGTCTTTACCACTGAGTCACAGAGCTCTGGATTGATTCACTTTGTCATTTAATCGTTTCAGCAACACATCCTTCCAGCAGCAAAGTTCTTGCGACAAAGTTTGACGAGGGCGCGCCATCGTGCGTGTGGTGTCATAACTTCACATCTCAAGTAGGGACGTGTCTGATTGGGAATTCTATTTCTCACAATAGATTTCCCGTGTGTAGCTAGAGTGCTTCCAGGTCTCCCTTCATGAAAAATAATTAGGTAAATTCAGTTAACAAATTCCAATCCCCGAGCACACATGTACGTGTGCATGGTGCTGGCCTCGCTAAGAGCACTTGCCCCACCGGTCTGTTATAGGCTATACGGGGGATATTTGTCTTTGTGTATTAATTACTTCCACCGCTTGATGCTCCTGCCCTTGTGCACTCGAAGCAGCATTTGTGTGATACAGCGGTGAATCCATATTTATCCCTGGAAAAATCTGATGAGCTATGAAGCACTTTGTTTTTTTACAGGTGTCCAGTAGGCGCATGCGGGTCAAAAAGTTACAGCAACAGACAATACAAAATCACGATAGGAGTGTAAAGTTGAGAAAAGGTAATCAAGTCGCTCAAAATAAATAAATAAATACGTTAACTAGATCAAGTATATGAGTTCAAGTTGCATAAGTAGACCACGACGAGTGGCTCGTGTGAGAAGTCTGAATGCAGCAATCGTTTCCTGAAGCAGCGTTATTTTTAGAGGTGCATACTGCAACAATATAACTTGCTTTTCAAGGGCGATTAATGTCATTCTTCTGACCCCCATATGACCACAAAATGTGAACAGTGTAGCCATTGTGTTGCCGACGTCCAGGAACTCTGCGGTGGTGTTAAGTTCTCTGTCCGGGCGATGACACAATAACCGGGGGTACAACTGTACCAGCGCTGTAATGTTGTGAATATTTCTGTAGAACCAGTCTGAATTTCTAAACGTCATTGGTCACATTTGTAAATGACGAGAGAGAGAGAGAGAGATAGCAACGATGATAAAGTTACAATGCACGCTGGAAACCCCTAAAAACAAACCCACCAGTATTTCCTGAAGAGGTGCATTGTGGTCCTAAGTTTATCACCGCATCGCTGCTGTCATTAGTTGGCCACACGTACTCAAAATGATTTTGACGGTGATTTCAGACAAGGGGACCACAACGGACTTCTTCAGGAAACGCGGCTGCTTTTTCGCCTCCCGCACAAACGGCTGTTGTGCCTTTTACGCACGTTTGCGTCTTGTTTGGGGGACATCGTAGGAAAGCATCGCTAAAATATTAAAGCCGCATACTTGAACGTTATTCCACGCTGTAGGGGACACGCACATCTGGTGCGCCCTTGCTCCATTGCCCGGGGTTGTGTGGCCAATACCTCGTCTGTCCATTACTGTCGTGATCAGAGCTAAAGGCAGTGAGTGGTCATTTAAAAATGAGTCACTCCTGGTGACCATCACAGGTGCCTTGGATGACATTAAACCCAGGTCTCTGGGATGGGAAGACAATCATAATACATTTTCTACCCTTCTACCCCGCGTATTCCCAAAGGGCAGTCGAGATGGAATAATACATACAATGTATAAAACTCGGAAGGCATGTGGCTTCCCAGACCCTTCCCAGCTCCTGTCGGTATCTGAACACTGAAGCAAATACTTTGTTCCGTGTGAGATGAATGATGCCCGCTGGGCTCTTCCAAGTTCTCAAGGATCTTCTTCCAAAGCAGAGTCGCATAGCTGCGGCACTCTGAGTGGGGTCTTAACGCTTCGCGGTGTGCTCCCCACCGCATTTCCCGCGACTGTAACTTGTTCGCGACGCTCACGTTTTTTTTTATTGCAGTACTCCCCTTACTGTCTGTGGGTCAATGGTCATTGGTCATTTTCCATTGGCGGTTATGCATCCTCACTGTTGAATGCTCGATGAGTTTTTTTGTTGTTGTTCAAATGACGGTCAAAAAGTAGATCTTATGAATTGGTTAAGGAAGCGATCCAACGAATTGCCCCTTAGCAAACCCGAAGCAGTTTGTTTAGTGGAAACAGCCGAGGTCAGAGGCGAGGATTGTTTTTCCGCCACCACCCCCCAACTCCCGCCGTGGCCCAAGAAAAGAATTTGCAAGAAAAGGCAAAAAAAATTTACTTACCGAA